TGTTTGTTAGCGTATCTACTGTAGTCATGCATGTCAATAAGCAAGGGCATAAGCTAACACTAAGTGGGGGCCAGGAGGGGCTGGGGGACCTGGGAAAATGAAGGGGGAATTAAGAAAGAAAATAGAAAAAAAAATTAAGAAATGAAAAATCACCAACAAATATTTTAGTTTCCTTATTATGCAATGTAATTTTAAATCATCATTACTTACTATGATGTGTAAAAATCTATAATTTAAAAAACAAAAGCCAGGATATTTAAAGCTGACCGTCCCATGCACACACATATTTCAAATTGTTTTTCTTCATTAAAATTTGATACAAATAAAAAAAAAAAACATGTAAGTTGATATATTTATAATCTAAACAATTTAATAACTGAACAGGAAAAAAAGTAGAAAAAACATTTTAAAAGTGACTTCTATTTTACAGCAAATATTTCATTGCATTGCATTGTAGTTTAAAAATAAGGAAACCACCAAGAAGCTAATGTCATTTTGGGGGGGGGGGGCTGCAGTACGGTTTGGGAGTTCGGGAACTCCTGCATTAGGGAACAGTGAAAAACATAATTTTTTGGCATCTTTCTAAAAAGGCTGCATGATATCAGGAAAATATTTAAATAAATATTTAAAGATTAACTGAAATTTATTAACTCTTCTGATACTGTACCTTTCTGAGAAGTCTCTAACATTTTCTGTGAGCTTTTAACATTTGAACCTAAGCATCATGCTGCTGTCAGATGAGACAGACCAAAAAAAACAACACACCGAGTGATGTGTTTAATGTGAAAGAAAAAATTAATATCTTTAAAACACCTGCTGTTAAGTGGAGGATCTGTGATGCTTTCAGCCAAAGGTCTATAAAAGGCAATGGGAATGTCATTTCAGGAACCGTTTGGAAGATCAGGAGATTATAGATAAAAGATTGTAGACTCTACTGGGGATCTGTACATTTTTTAGCCTTCTCAATACCATAATATTTCAAAACACTTGGATCTAGATGTTGTATTTAATGTCCAATTAGCAGAAAGGAATAAACAACTATTGTGCTCATGGTTATCTGTTGCTGTTCTTCCAGTGATTTGGTTAAAACGTTTATTTCCTAATCTGCTTTTTGTACATTTCTTTGCCAGTAAAGTCTGAGATTATATTTCAGCAATGAAACATATTTTAAAGCTCCTTCTCCATACCTGAGCTGTCATAATTGTGCTGTTTTTTGTAAATAGACATTAGTGGCAGTGTCCTATAAAGCCACAACGAAGGTGAACAAGTAGCATTATTAGTAGTCGGGATTTTATAGTTAATCAGTGAATATTTTTTATTTCGCTGAACAAAAATAGATTCCCCATAATCCAATGCTTTCATGTTTCCACCATCTGATCTTTGAATCAGCAGGGAGCTGTATGAAGTCTTATTGATTTGACTTTCAGTCAGTGAGACAAACAGCAACATGCCCTGGCTTTAGATTGCACACAGATCTGGAAAAATATTTGAGAGCAAAACAGTACGGACTGACTTGTATGTCTGTATTGATGTTTTTTGGCCAGATCAGCAGGAGAAAAAGTAAACATTTATAGTTAAATGTTTGATGTTGGCTTGTTTGCCTGTACATTCAGCAGCCAAGGTCTAAAGTTGAATTTTATTTCTTTTTTAGGCTACCAAGCACTTACGTATGACTAAAACATTGAACAATGCCAATGACTTGTTCTAATATTTTTATTATTTTAGTTTAAAAAAGGAAGAGACAACCCATTGTTATACAAAGATATTTATTGTGCATAAATATGTGGCAAAGCAACCAGTTTTACATGTTTTACACAGATTAGGACATATTTTTGTGTTTTGTACACAAATTGCTTTTATTGTAACATCACAGCATTGTTTTAAACCACTCTAGTTGCATAGATTGAACAAGGGTAAGCACCTTTTCAAAGTAGAGTAAAACAATCCTATAAAAGTTTTCAGGGAAATAACGGATTATTTCATTATATAATAGATTATTTCCCTAAACTTTGATTTATACAACCTTCACATGTTTCCAGGACTCAGATCCTCACAGGCTCATTTGTATTCAGGTCATTCTTGATTCAGTTTGGAGTCTTGTTGTCCCCCTGACTCTCCACCACCCTCCCCAACACCTCCTCCTGCACATGAAACAGAGCTGTGCCAAAGAACGGCTTCCGTTCAAGGTGTGCTGCAAGTCTGCATATATTGATGTGCTGTATGAACTAGACAAGCCCTGTAAAATTCCCTTTATTAGATTATTCCGAATCCAAAGTCCATTCTACTACTTGTTTCTAAATGTCACTTGGAAATATCCAATTGTGTCTGTGTAACAAATTTCCTTTCATTCTCAAAGTCAATTGGAAAAGGGGCTGCTAGTGGTTGAAAATGGCTGTTATAAACTATGCTGTGTTGCTTTGCTGGAGCTTACATTAGACTCACTGACAAATACCTTTATTCCGTTGTGGTATTTCCGATGTTATGAAATAATTTTCTCTCCTTACTGATCCCATTGCAAAAAAAAAAAAAAAAACAATAACAAAAACTCTAGTAAAAGGATGCAAATATGAAAAAGAAATATTTCAAATCCAACAGAGACTTACCAACTGCAATTCAGGTTGGTCAGATTTAATACAATTAATTTCAGATTTTTTGCAGTAGGTGGAAAAATGTTTGAAAATATGACATATAAGTAGTGTGCACCAATGCAAACAAGTTGCTGCATCTTTTTGTTGCTTTCATTTTTCTATCTTACATCTTTGTTTTCATTTTTGTATCATAAAACATTGAAGATGGAAAAATGTTATGTTTTACTTCCCAAATATATGTGTTTAGGGGAATGCAAATTTTTTTATATCAAATCAAATAAAATCCTTGAAGAGTTTTCTGTGCAACAATACAAGGTTGAACAAATGAAGCAGAGAATAACAGGTATAAAACCATAAAATAAATAAGTAAACCTTGCATTACGCCCTATATTTTGAAACTGCTTATCCTTGAACGTCATGAGATTTAAATTATTCACTGAACCCTTTTTTCTTTCCAAAATGTACAGTTTTCTTTTGAGAGGCAGTCAAGGCTCCACTCAGTCAAGAAAATAACAATGCAATTAAGCTTCATGGTGTAACCTGATAAGCCATCTAGTTATTCTTCAGCGGGTGCCATGACAACAAAGTGACCGCGACCTGCACACAAAACAGCTCCAATTGTCAAAATAATTGACTGTCAGGGTGCAATGAACACAGAAAGAAGAAACCTCTTCATTCAGAGTCAGACAAAAGTAGTGCCCTTCTTACAATAAGTGTAATTTAAGAAATGAATCAAAAATAAAGAGTTCAGTCTACATCAATAATGAGATCTGGAACAATTCATTTCCATTTACAATGATTAATGCTTGGGATTAACAGTGTTTCCTGGAGTTATGGTGGAAAGTTTGAAGTGCGAACATTGGTTACCACTGACCTATGAACATGACTGAGTAATAGCCGTTTTAAAACCTTCAGCAGTAACACATATTTAAATCTGTACAAACCACACATTTACATCTCAGGAAGATAAATAGCTTAAAAAACACTTGGGTAAAGCCCTGAATCTACTTCTTTACAATAATACAAGATCCTAATAACAATGAAAAATACAATATTTTAAAGGAGTTATGATTTCTCAAAGCCTTTAGAGTTTGAATTACAGTAGCAATAACCCCAAATCCTACAATCACATCATCTCTATGTACAGTAACAGCTTAATTAATGAGATGGTGGTATGTATACAGTAGTGATCACAAACACACCAGTGAAACAGCTCAATGCTATTGTTGCTGAACGTCTGCCTGCTCCTCTGAGGAAAGACCGAGATCTTTCTCAAGACAAAAAAACACTTGGTAAAAAAAAGGACATCCTAATAAGCAGTTGTTATGGATAATAAGATACTTAGCTGTGAATACAAACCCAACACCTTTAAAAAAAAAACAAACAAACAAAAAAAAAACAGATTACATAATAATTCTGAAGAGAAAGCTCATAAAGTTCGTATCCTTAGGTTTATCCTGGAGGTATATCTTTTGAAAGGGTTTTCACTACAATGTAACATACAATGCAGAGGCTAGTCAAGCAGATAGTTTGTTTTTATTGGTTGCTCTTGTATCCTTTCTCAAATGTCAACATATTAAACAGTGGTACAACATAGTGCTTTCACTTCAGATAAGTCAATGTTAAGCTATAAATATATCATATTATGACTGGAAACTGTTTTTTTCCACCTAACCAATTTAAGTGCTAAACCAAACCAGCATCTTGCTTCATATCAAATTTTTATTTTCCTGCTGCTGGAGCAATGATTTTATCATCAAGTTGCCAGGGAAAAACAGACGCAGCTTGTATTTTAATATTTGGATCAGTACTATAGTAAACCAGGTATATTTGGCATTTCCATATTAATTATGGATGTTACATTTTTTTTCTTTCTAATATATAGGACTCATCCTTTCAGTTGCTAATAAATCCTCTGCATACTTAATTGTTTATAAGTACAGTAATTTAGAAATGGCACAAAAATGTTCACAAATATAAGCTGCTATCGTACTTCAAAAAATTCAGATAACCACAGGATGTAAAACACATGTTGTTGTGAATGTAAATAATCTAATATTAGAGAATATATTTTCAAATGAATGACAAAAACTGTGGAGGTTAAAGCCAGATGAGATTTTGTCAGCTGCCCCAGGCATAGTAGAATTTAAAACAATCCTTTAAACATTTATCTGAAAACAGGTACAGGGTTCTAGAGATTTTACACTGCAAAAACAATCTAGAAATAAGTAAAAATGATTAATATGAGTAGGTAAAAATAAGATGATGGAATTAGATCTTTTACATTTAAGGTGATGGAATTAGATCTTTTACAGTTAAAATAAGATAATTATATTTTTATGCACTCAAAATAAGACAATGTAATGGCTGTTTCTTATTTTAAATATTTCCATTTGCAAAGTGTTTCACTTACCTTATTAATTCAAGAAAAAAATCACCTAATTTAAGAAAAAAAACTTATTTGGATTAAGTTTTTTTGCAGTGTAAAGACCCACTTAAATGATGTTTAAAATAAACCCCAGAATTTAAACTACAGAACTTCTTATTCTGTTAAAATGCTCCAAGTAGTTGGCACTATGCATTAGAATTAGAAGAACGTTTTGGCTAAAATCTTAATGCACTATCCAAAATTGTAAATAACCAAAAGCATGCAGCACAAGCTGTAACTAATCAGTCTGTGTGACATATCAGAGCTCATTAATGAAGAAGGCTAGGGTAACATTAATGTAGATGAGCTCTTTCCTCACACTGTGATCCCTAACAAAATTACTACACTCAACAGAATTTGGGTAACAACATGATGCAATAAATAATAGAAATAACACATTGACATGGCTCTGCGGTGGCTTTCCAACTACGGAAAAATAAATATGGTTTTCACATTTCTTTATTGGAATAAGTTCAAGACTTTATCTAAAACAAACTTTGGTTTAGCACAAGAACTGGAAAAATCTTTCACATCTGTTCGGAGAAATGTTTAAATCTAATGAGCAAATAAAAAATATATATTTAAATGATAATATAAAAGATATAAGTAAATAACTAAAAATAAATTATAAAAAAAAATTATATAAGATTGCATGGCAATAGACAAACATGACTCGTTTGTTTCTTGAGACTTGTATTCACTGTACAGCATTTAATGTTTAAAAAGTTGGACTCCTTTCAGAGAAGTTGGCAGAATATCTACAATATCAAAGAGCTTTTCCCAAAACACGTCTGTTTAACTAAATATAGCTTTTATGCAACTATTTCTGTGATCTCACTCTGAATCTCTTTGGGGATTTTACAGTGTAGATATTTAGTAACTCTTGCATCTAAAGCATTTCTGTGCTGCTTGCTAAGCGACCCATATTTTACCAGGTAATTTTTTGCAAACATCTGCATCATTGATGGCTGTTTACCTTTTAAGCCGGGTTCAGGTTTTAGATCCTTTACAATAACAGTTAATGTTTCTTGGCTTCCCTGCTGAGTTTATGCAGTTTCTGTTGTTTTTTTCGGTCTAGAGCACCAGTGTGTGCTTTCTGTTATTTTTTTTATAATGCTGTATGATGGGCAGCTACTGCCAGCTGGTGTTATTGAAAATAATTATTGTCAAAAGGCAACAGTCTTTCATCTGAGACCTCCCACAGACTCAGAGCTGCATTGTCAGAGACGGGTTTGGAGTGGGGCTCGGCCAATCTGACAGAAAAGAAAGAGAAAATAAAGAAGACAGAACCTAAATATAAAGAGGTCAGAGTTATAAAACTTTGCGGAAGAAGATGGATTCCCAATGGCTTCTAACTTGATAATGAAAAGGAATATAAATGTAGTAAGGGTAAGCAAAATAAATCTATTTGAATGAGGAAAAAATGACAGTAACAGGGCAGAGGGCTTCCCAGACAGATAGGGAGATGGTTACTGTATTTCACATCAGTTGGATTAAGGGGAACTTAATTTTAAGATACAAGTCAATTCTTAGAGTATTATAAACACCATGTTGTAAAGTTAGTATTTTCTCTTTAAATTAAATATGTACTTATGCAGCTGTAAACTCAAATCTTCCAAAAAAAAAGTTTGGGGGGTTTGTGATGCTGAGAATTAGAGACTATATTCAGTATAATTTCTTAATGATTTAATATTGTGTTAATTTCTCTTCAAAAGGGCCAATTTATCTTTTATTCTAATTAACTGAGTTTGTCTATATTTGTGATGTTATTAAGCTTCAATATACCATATAACTTAAATTTACAATCCAGATGTTGGTATTCTGCATATGGGTGGGCTGATGAATAGGATAGGTTTAAAATATAAGTGCAAGGTAAAAATGTTACAATAAAAAGTAAATGAGAAGAGAATAAACCATTTGGTGTTTATAAAAATCTTAATCACAGGATGTATTAAAGTTTTCAATTATAAGAAGTAAACCTTGCATTAAGGAGACACTAATGATCTGACCATTTGGATGCACTTCATTCCCCCAACAAAGCCTGTGCAGTAACCTCGCATCAATTTGGGACATTAAGTTAACCTGAAATAATATTTTGTACCACAAGTAACTCTTTGAATGCTGTCAAAGACATTCAATCTAATGGCATCACAAAGGCAAGACTGCTGACTCATAACAGTTTGGCATAGACTGATATATAATCAGCGTAACAGGAATTTGGATTTATAAGTGCAGATGAGCCTGGTTAAAAATTGCTTGCCGAGTTCTTTTTTGTTTACTGATTTTTTTATTTCTTCATAATCTCCTTGCAAATTTCCCGATTCCATTTGCTTACCCTTGGATGGATGGATGGATGGATGGATGGATGGATGGATGGATGGATGGATGGATGGATGGATGGATGGATGGATGGATGGATGGATGGATGGTCCATTATTTTCATATTTTACTTCTCTGAATTTTGCTGTATTTTGACTATTCCTTCTATAAGGACCTTTCATCATGACTATATGTAATGATTAATGCACAAATCAAAAATTATAAAGAAGAGTCAATATACAGAAATGCTTCTTCATGTAAAGAGCATGCCAGTCATGCATCATCACTTACCAGTATCTGCTTCGTCTACCTCCATATTGCTGTATGCCAAAACAAACAAAAGAAATGAGAATCTGAGCCGACGGTAAGTGAACGCTGCAATGACCAAAAATGCTTTATAAAGGGAAGGAGAAGATGTACTCGGTAAACATTGGCATGTGGTGAGACTGGTTCCCCTTGAAATATATTCAAGACACGGAAATAGCTGAAATTACACTATTTGAAAGATATGACATTCAAATTAGCTTTAATTATAGACTTAGGTCTCTGCTGAGCCAGAAGCTGTATCAACTCAAAATTCATTAAAAAAGCCCACACACAAGCTGCATTATTTAATTAAATGTAGAAGCACATATACTGAAGGTATTTACTGTGAAATCCTTTTGGCCTGGCTCTAAGCACAGAGGCTCCACCTCAATGACTTTCAGAATATTATACCAAAAGGTGTTTCACACAGGACTGATTCTAAACCTGCGTGATAACTGTTAATTAAAACAACTTTCCTGCATTATCAGTTACAGAACAAGCTAGAAACTATACAAACTTTTTAAATCTAATTTATAGTTTTCTTTCACACAGTAATGTTTCACCATTTTAACAGCAAAATTATATTGGCAGGCACCTTGAAATTTAATGTATATTGTAAATTTTAGAGCCAATAAGATCTAAACTCTACCAATCTAAATCAGTTCAATCAAGAATTGTCTAATTTTAAAATTTCAAGATTTTATAAAAAGATACAGAGAAAATATGTGGTTTGATTATATAGCATATAATTTTTTGTGAAAATTAGTGCCTTATTAAAAAGTTGCTATGAAATGTACTCTAGGTATGTGCAAACTGATTTGTGGTCAGCATGTAATATCTGATGGCAGAGGACTATCCTTTATACCCCAAAAATTACACCAACAAATGAGAATGATGACAAAATAGCCAAGGGGCAAGTTAAGCATTCCTCCAGCAGGCTCCATGCCAACTTGCCCTTCTCCACTTCTAACCCTTCTTCTTGCCCATGCACCATCATCTTTCTGTCTATGTGTCAAGGCCTTATTTTGGTTCATTCTCAGCAATGCAGATTTCAATAAGTTTTTGAACTTTTTTTTATTAAACCTTTTATTTACCAAGCTGCATCTCTCTGCTTGTTTACATTTGGGTCCAACTACGTCACAACAAATTTGACCCAAATTTGTATAGACTTAGGTAGAGGCGGCAACTCTGCCTATGGTATAAAATATTGTTGCCATGACAACAACATCTGCTGTGGTGAAATGACAAAAGATCAAGACTTTGAAATCTGCAACAGGGGGGCTGATTTCATACTCATTGGCTAAATTACTCACAGAGAGCTGCTAAACAAGCAAACCAACACAGATGGTTACAAAGAGAACAAAACCAAAGAAGGCTCTAACATGCCTGTTCAATTTACAGTATACTTAAAATAGGAGGATCCTGGTTGGCTGTTAGCCTTATTATTTGTTGTGGATTTGTAAAGTGCATCATGTTGCTCTGCATCATCAATAATGACAACCTTAATTGTTTTACAATAAATTTCTCAAGTCTGGATGTTGTTTAGATAATACACATTTGCATTGCCAGGTAATCTTGTTTATGCTATGATTTTACCAAACTTCATGAGACGCATTAGTATTAAATGAACAGAACATAAAACTGTTAAAGGGACAATTATCAAAAAAAGTTTTTTTTCTATTTTTTCCATTAATTATATGTTAAATTAGTTGGTCGATTTTTTACGATTACAGGAATCATTTTTGAATATTCTGCTCAAATAGAAAATTCAATTTCCTTCTATAAAGCCAACTACAAAATATTCCTATACAACCTGAAGTCAGAAAAAGCAAAAGTTACCTTGAAAAGACATCATCGAAACCATCCTCCACATCCTGTTGAGACACAACTTTGTTGATTAATGTACACACAAGATCCTGTAAATCATTATCTGGGATCTTTTATGCTGAGTAAGCATTTTCTTACAGCATTTATCCTAATTTAGCAAACATTTTTCCAGGGAAACACGGAATACCGAAAAAAATTGGTACAGTTATTTTATAGAAAATAGTGACATCTTGTGTGAAACATTTGGAACTACGTGAAAAATAAGAATGCTTTACATTAAAAGATAGAACATTTTGCATCCTTTGAAACAGTATGTAAACCAAAGAAAGCTTATAATTCATTATGATTGATCATGTTTGGACATAATAGAAAATATCTCCTTCATTAACCTAAGTCCTATACTGCAGCTTATCAATATCATATTTTTTTAAATAGAAAATTTACTTTAAATCTGCAAAATCAATTTTTAGTTTCCTTAGGCCGAAATGTAATCTAAACACAACAAATATGACATCAAAATGTAAACTAATTTGCGGAAGAGGATATAATTATGCAAAACAGACCTTAAAACTCTCTCCAGATGAAAAGTCAAATAACAAAACAAATTTTAAATTAATCAAGATAATTATTTTAGTTTTAAGTATTCAAACATTCCATTTGAACATTTCTTTTGTTCTGAGAAAGGAAAAACCTTTCAGGCATATCTTCTTTCCCTTTGCAAGGACATTTAGCCTGTTACTTACCCAAGAGTCATGTTTAATCGGCCGTCTCCTGGTGGGGTTACTGCGAGGCAATGGTGAGCTGAGAGAAGCTGAGAATAAGGGCCTGCGGGGCTTCTCCTCTATCCCACTGGGCTTATGTGCTGCTGGATGTGAGGGGGATGGCAGGTGTGGAATGGAAGCTGACGGACATGCAGAGGACAGTTAGGAACAGATTGAGTAAGGGAATAAATGTACATAAAAATCGAGACACAACAGAGATAATGTCTGACTTTTTTTTAAATCAGTGCATTGCTAGGAAAAGCATTTTTATCCCCTTAAAGATTTCTTGTAACTTTTAATTTTGTCACACTTAAAATATTTAGTTTCACACATAAATAAGATAAAAAGCCACCCAAACAACCCCATGCGAAAATATATTTGCCCCTTGGTTGAATATTAATTTCTCTGTGATTTACCACATTTTTGGTGGGTTTATTTTCCCAATCGACATTCAAGTCTGACTACTCTCAGATCAAGTGGAGAAACAAATAAATATGTCTGACAACATGAAGTTGTTAAAAAAAAAAAAAAAAATACAATTTCCCTAACCTAAACAAATTTATGAAGAGATAAGTAACAATAACATCCATCTGTCTGGAATATTTTTTTTAGATTTTAAGGATTGGGGTGTGCCAGGGTGAAAGATTATACAGAAAAGACTTAATGATTAAAACAAATGATTTAACGGTGAGTCTATATTCCTTCCCTTACCTATGTTCATAAAATCTGCATCATGATCGAAAGAAATGGGTCCCAAGTACAAGTGGCCTGTACAAATATGAGTACGGGAAAGAAAATGCTTGTATATTTGGAGGCAGTCCAGATGTTCAGAATGTCTGTATATATACTGCACCCCTGTGGAGCAATGACAATAAAGAATTCTGATTCTGATTCTGATTCAATTTGTTACATTTTTAAGAGAGAAATACTTGAACTGACTAAATCTGGATTATTTAAAACTGATCAAAAATGAACAATTAAGTAGTAAAGTCAGGATTTCTTGACTCTCTCAGCTAAGAACTTTTTGACCTTTTAAAGTCAAGTCAATGAAAACGTCTGCTGCTGGCCTTCAACACTAATTGTTATTCACTGTTAATGTGGTTTCCATCAAAGTTTGAGGAGTGGCAGAAAAAAAATGTATCCACAGCTACATATTCACAGTCCTCATTATATTGTCCATATAATAACCCCTAAAGGTCATTACTGGGACTCCAGTTCCAGCATGGTGCAAATAATCCAGAGAATTCCTAGTAAGAGAAAATGTCAGGAACATTTTACTTACCGTATAACTGAAATAGATAGAGAAAGGCAAGAAATATGCCTGTGCTAATTAGGCACTTGCCATCTCAATAGCAGTGGAGTAGGAAATTGCTTAACCTTTGTAAGTTTACAACAATTTAAGCAAAAGGTTACAAAAAAAATAAGTCATCTCTGTATCAGTCTCATAAACCTTCTGCCATTCCATCCTGACAGTATCTTGTGTGCGACTGATACTGCAGTTTGGAGGGACACATTAATGAGAACTTATTAAAATGGTCACACCTCCTGGAACACACTGTGTTTCTGTCGTCTCCATCTGGCCGTCACTGGCTGCACAGGAACAGCAGGTCCTCGCCTTCTTGTTTTTGTCTACAAACACAAAATATATTCTAAGAACCATGCAAGATGTAAGTCTTCCTTTTTCATCTAGTCCCAAGTATGTTTCTTTGTTAAAATAAGTTTTACAAGGAGGATGAGGTTAGATGTTGCATATTTTTAGTTGCACATCAACTTACCTTCCTGAGCAATTTCCCAAAGATCTAGTGCTACTTTAAATGCCTGAGCTACTGTTAAGGTTACAGCCTGAGCCTGGAAGAGAGAGAGAGAGGCAGTACAGTAATGTAAAACACACAAATAATGATGTAAGTTTATATTACTATTTTTTGTTTTCTTTTATTGTTTTAACATTTAACTTAAAAAATCACACACATTTAACAGGTTTAACCTTTTTTCCCCTTTTGAGTTTTTAAAAGCGTTACTGGTTAAAGAAAAGAAAACTGATGTATTTTTAAGGCATTGATAACTGACTTTAACCATAAATAATAATCCAGCTACATGTAAACTAAGTTCAGTTAGAAGATAATTTAGCAGAGAGCAGGGCAGAAGGTGGTATGGAAATTATTGGCTATACAAGAAACTGGTATAACAGTCTCAACACTTGTATTATCAGCATCTGAAAGTCATTTAATATGATAAGGAGAAAAAAGGGAGGCCCCATAAATGTACTGACAGTTGCATAATTGTATCTCAAAAGATTTTTGATTGATTCACTTTTTTTATGCATGGGTCTGGGTAGTAGACCCAAGCAATACCTGAATACAAAAAGTAAAAAAGGCATAAATAATATCTATAATTGCATTACATGTATTTTGGACTGATTGTTTGATCATGGTGACTTTCACCTAAATTGCTAATGTAAAATAATATATAAAAATGAAAACATAAGCAAACAAATTATTAGACTGAACTATGAATATTCAACTAATAGAATTTCCACTAGATGGCACTACAGAACAACCTGAATAATACAGTATGTATTTTCATGAGGTTCCTCATCTATACAAAAATGAACAACTTCAGTTTAAAGTAATATTCAAATCCCAACTGGTCAAATCTCTATATAATGTTGAATGTTATAGTCTATAGATGGGTGGATGTGTTGCATACTTACAATTTTTCTTTTTTGGCAGAGAAATGCATGACACTCAAGAGTCTCATTAAACTGGCTTTGGGAAACATAAGCAAAGACCTTGTCCTGAGTTTTATCTGCGGTGCAGTATGAGATTCTGGAAAAAAGCAAAGCAAAACAAAAAAGGAGAATATAATAGTATCAGAATTTATAAATTACTTGATTCACACGAGAGAGATCTTTGCAGAGTTCTTTGCAGAACAAAGCATTTAGGGTTAAACCTTGTCAGTGTACTAAACACTTATACAGGGACATGTCACCATGAGAAAAATGTTTACAGGAAAATGCTGACAAAGATATACAGTAAAGAAGAATGCCCTAGAGAAGTGAGGGGAGAAGATGTGCATTATATTTTAGATTACAGAAAACATGTATTAATAAAACACACTGATGGGGAATTTAAGATTTTTCCATTGGGTTGAAAATCTTACACAGCTATCTCCTGCCTTCTTATTTATTAGTCTTTCCTCTAAGCCCACTTGGTGTGTTTTAGTTTTTTTTGTTGTTTTTTTTTAAGTTACATGATCATTTTTCATGAGTGGGTGGTAGCATGCCTCCTTCAAAACACTGTGAATGTTGTAGGAGTACTGCTGAAATACAGACTGTACTTCCGACACACGAGGGAACGTCAGTTGAACTCAGATGATCTTTATTAACTGAGAAATCATGTTATTAACTTATCAAAAGCTTCTTGAATTACATCTATCACTTTCAAATGAGGAAACATAAATAAATTTAAGATTATCTTATTACACAGTTTGTAAATGCTGCAATTAGATACGTTTTATTGCTTTAAACTAAATAACTTATTTGGGGCTCGGGACCAGGCAGAAGACTTCGATGCTGTGAATCAACATTCGCTTGGATGAGTAACCTAAGAAACGGATTAGAGTAGTCTTCGCCAAGAAAAGATGCTATGGCTGAGATGCGAGACCAGACCCCCAAGCCACTGTGAAAAGGGATAGAAATAGAGAGAGAAAGGGGGGAGTGTTTAGGGCATAAGGTAAAGAATAAAAGGTTATGGGATAGTAAGGATGAACATTTGACGGGCATGATTAGACTGACCAATGTATGATGATGAAGACTGAAATGCTGATGGAGATGTTGTGATTGGTGAACTGGTGGAGTGCAACAACACAGTCAAGGGATCTGGTTTGGGTACTGCTTAAAAAGGCTGGAACACAGGTGGATGAAATGAGCGCTGATGAGAGTGAGTGGGAGAGGCACAGGTGTACCAAACGGGCAATCAGAGCCAACTTTTGATTGGACTTTTGTACAGAATACTATTTGCAAAAAGAAATTGTAGCATAATATATATATTTTTTTAATTATGTAGGTAATTCTATTTTTTTTTTATATGTTTTAGAAATGCCAGCGACAGTTACCTCAAAATGACTGAATGCCTGGGATTTAATGCACTTTGATGTTTTTATATTAGATCACATAACTTACTTATTAAAATAACTATAGGAGCTGAATGAGGTCACGCCGTGTGAATATTTATTGTAGGTTATTCATCAGTCATGTTATTTTTAAAGGCCATCGTTTTATTAAAAACATGATTAATTATTTTAAATAATGAATTATGAATTGCACTATTTTAATAAATCCAAAACAGTAATCTTAAAAGGAAGATAAGGTTTGATTTACGTATCTGTAATTTCTATTGTTACCAAATCTCTGTATCAGCCCTGGTGGCCGGCTACCTTGTGGGCCCTGCCGCCTGCCCCTGGCCCCCGGGCTATGGTGGTGCGACTGTTGGGGGCTCTGGGGGAACGGGGGGGCCTATTAGAGTCAGCCTCTGCCTGCTCCATCACACTACAACACATGTAGGTTCTTGGGGAGGCGGTCGTTTCTGGAAATCTTTTTCAGAAACAGGACAAGGGCAGGGAGATGTTATTTCTCTCTACAGACCTAATCTTGAATATGATTGCCTAATCTAAAGCCAGCTTCTCCCCCCCGGCTCGACATAGAGGGTACTGTAGGTACATGTGAACATCACTGTTGATTGGTGACACCGGATAAATCTTATCAACGTGGGTTGGATCTCTGTCTATGCTGCCATTATTACAATAAATAGTAAACTGTGTTTAAAGGAGAATGACTGACACTCAGCTGCACCCTCACTGAAAAGAGAAGTGGGAGGGAACAAAAACTGAAAGTCATTTTAAGACCGAATAATGAGCATAAAATCAGCAGTGCTCACTCTTATTTTGTTTGCTGGCATGCAACACTGACCCACATTGCAATGCCCAGGACACATACTTCCCCCCACGCTCTAACTTATATTTGGGCTGTAATTGCATAAAAAGATGCATAGAGGAAATGTTGAGAGGTTTGACCTATTTAAGGGTTAAAAATAAGTGTGATAAAACCAAACTTTTGCAACTGCTCAATATACTTAACTAATAACTTAACTACTATATTTGGTTTCTTTAAATGTGCAGGACTAACATAAATAAATTAAATAATAAAAAACATTTGTGTTGCTGTCAGATTTGGAATTTACATTTTTGGTTCACCCACACTGGCAACAGAAATGAGGGGAATACTAATACTAATGAGATAATGCTTTAAATGCATGCCTAAATGCATGTGTGTAAATGAATGCTGTAAATGCGAGCTTTGGTGGCGCAGTGGTTAGTGTGCCCGACGCATGTACGGAGGCCTTAGTCCTTGAAGCAGCCATCCTAGATTTGAACCTGGCCTGGTCCTTTGCCACATGCATCTCCCACTGTCTCGTACCCCCCTTGTGTCAGCCAACTGTACAAAAAATTAGCCAATAGTGCCATTAAAAACCTGAAAAAATAAAATAAAATGGAGTGCAATACGCTGGTGAAGATTCTGTTATCCAGGTCATAGTCATTCCAAAAAAAGAAAATTAAAAACAATCTACTGGACTTTGTTTCCAAGTTTGAAGACATTTTGCTTCCCATCCAGGGAAGTTTCTCAATTAAAAATGTCACAAATACCGTTGAGCTTGAGGTTTTATACAGAAGCCCAACAAAGCCTTGTTTTTGTTTTGAAAACATGCAAATAAAAAAACGGACGAAGGGCTCCATCCCCTTGGGATGGGGATCGTTTGGCTTCTTTTGTTAGCCTGCAATGCCCCATACCCTTCTAAATGTCTGAAAGGTCGGTCCTTAAAGGGAATCATTGGCCTTGCTGAATAGGCAAGGTCCTCCGCTCTGCAGTACAGGAGCTGGGTACAATCTGGGATTCATATGAAAAATTATATAATATGGTGTACTTTTCTAGAGGTTTGTTAATTTGCATAGTTGATCTTAAATAAACACACTCTCAAAGAATAAATAGCTTTTCTACATATAAAAAAAATAAAGCTGACTAATAGCTTCTCCGTTATCCAACTGGTACATTATTTTTTTTAGGTTTGTGACACAATATTGGACTGTGCTAAATACAGGTTTGCCTTCACAAAGCCTAAGGGAAAGATTTATGTACATCTTCATATAAATATACTGCTGTGATAACTTAATATACATTTGATTGGTTTTTGGTATACAACTATTTTGAATTTATAGCCCCCTCCTTTAGAAAACTCCACCAGCCGCCACTGCTCTGGTGTATCTGTACTTAGAAGATGTAACTTTTCATTAACAATGATCCATCCACCCATCTTCTCCAGCTTATACGATCAGGGTCACTGTGGGTCCGGTTCCTATCTCTCGCAGTGCCTATCTCGGACAGGTCGCCACTCTGTCGCAGGGCAACATAGAGATACAGTGAGACATACAACCATGCACACTCACTCACACCTAAAGACAATTTAGAAATGCCAATTAACCTAAAAGTCATGTTTGGACAGTGGAATGTATGGACTGTGGGAGGAAGCAGGAGTAAGGAAAGGACATTTTTATTTTTATAGCACAATTCATTACATGGACAATTCAAAGTGCTGTACATGAATTGGATACTAAAATAGAAGAAAAATAAAACCAGAAGAAAAAAATTGTAAAAAAAAAAAAAAGAAAAAAAGAAAAAAAGAAAAGAAATAGACTACAAATAAAGCAGAATAAAGTAAAAAAATAAAAATAAAACTAAAAAAAAAAATTGAAAGAACCCACACATTCATGGGGAAAACATGCTAACTCCATGCAGAAAGAACAAACTGCGCAACTGTGTATTCAGTAACAATGATTTTTTTTTTTAAATAGTATGCATAGTATGGATAAATGTTAACCACCCATGGTAACGCAAGCTACACAGAGCCTTACTAGGAGCATAGTTTCCTCTTTCTTGCATAGTCCTGTCCTTACTAATTCTCTTGTGGGTTTGCTCACCCAAAGGAACGCTGCAGATATGGATTCTCTTCGGACAGATTCAGACAAGAAAACACTGTACTTACACCTGACTGGCTTACTGTTCTGATCTCCGTGACAAACTGTGAATATCCATCTAAGTACACAGATCAATAGCTCGTCCTAACCTCTACTCAGGTTCAGTTTCAAAAATACAGTAGTATATCATATATAGTGTATAATAATAAAGTGCATTAGAGTATAGGTAACAGAGACATATTTACTGTTTCTATGCTTTTATTTTTAAACTATAGTTGTAATACGTTCTTATAATAATGTCACACGTTTGTTTATCTAAAACTATATTTACTTGGCTAAAAATACTGACAGGTGGATTTTGTAGAATATCAAATCCTGCCACTTATATCACTTTTGCATGCTTTTCAATAACGAAGATTTCTCGTTAAATATGTGATGTTAAAGCTAAGAGTCTAATTTCCATCTCCGGGACAATTTAAAGGTTGGTTATCAATTAGGGCTTACATTATTATTGCATATGCAATATAATCACAAAAAAAAAAGCTATTTTCAAATCTTAGAGTCATTCAGTTTTAGTCATTTTACATTCGGCACTAAATTTCTCCCTCCAGCCCTTTGGATTGCAGTAATACTCTTATTGTTATTTTGCTGAAAAGTAGAGAGACCGTTAAGTCTTCCAACAATGGACTCTGGACATGCAAGCTTTAAAGGCAACATAAGGTTAGGTTAGGTTCTACATCCACCTCTTCACATCACAGATGACCTCACCCTATTACTAGAGGTTCTACATCTACCTCTT